CAAGCAAAGAGGGAAGCCATGGAGCCGCTGTCACCGATTTAGCCCAGCCGGGGCCCGCCCAGGGGCCACTCCCCAAGGGAGGCAGCCAGTCCCCCCCCCAGGGGGGGCAGCCAGTCACTCGCCCGCCCTTCCGGGCCCGCTCCCGAGGGGACGGTCTCCCGCCCGCCCTCACACACAGCTCTTCAGGCCAGGCCCCCAGGGCTTCGTCCACCTCTCACCTTTGACGACGCGGTCTGAGGGGCTAAGACCGGCATGCACCGCGCGTGCGGAGGCGGAGGCGGGGCAGGCTCTAGGGACCTTGGCAAAATTACTTAGGCTAAAAGAGAAACTGGACGAAGCCAAGGGATCAGGTTTAAATTCTTTGCATGAAGAAACCAAAGTCACTGAAGAGAGGGGGCAGTGTGTAGCTAATAGCTGCGATAAATTAGAGTGGGAGGAAACAGCCTCAGCTCTCACAGAGCTCCCAATAAAATGGGAAGTGATTAAACCTCAAAATCTCCTACTAATAGAGAAGTAAGTGTATAACAATTTAGCTACCAGACCTGAATACTAAAGGGTAGGCAAGGGACAGAAGAGTCAGGGAGGTTTTACAACAGAGAAGTGACCATTCAAAATGGATTTTAAAGATAATCTTGTGTTCAAAGTGTGGAATTGTCAGAACTCTGAAGGCACAGAGTAAGATTGTAGCTAGCACAGTCTAGGCTCCAAGGGTTAAAAATCAAAACTACTAAGGGGGTTAAAAAGGGCACAACACCAAGAGATGTTCAGAGAATCTGCAGAATTCACTTGAAAAGACACAATTTTCCTCTTCATTCATTCATTCAGAAAATAGATTCGTAAGGCGGAGAAGTAAATGGGGAATTGGAAATTAGTTCCATATTTCTGTGCATGAAAAACTGGGCCCAGGTGACTTATAGGAATTGTATAAAGCAAAAGTGACTGACATTCATGGGGGAAAGAGCTGAAGAACAAAAACTGACTGAATGTTCAATCAATAATTAGAAGAGTGTGTATGGCACCAGATGTGTTGAACTGTGGACAGGGACTAGCATATCCACTAAGATCTACACATCTTAGTGGTATAGGATCCAAGTGGGATTCAGTGAGAAATTCCTGTCCCTCCTCCAGCTCAATAATACCAGTGCTGGGAACCAGCAGTTAGTGTAATGGCTATGTTGCTGGACTCCCATGTAGTCGACCGTGGTTCGCGTCCCAGACCCGGTGGCTTAAAACTCACACCGGGCGCGTGTGCGTGCATGCCCAAGATCCTGAGAGGAGAATGGAGGAGAAGGGATTGCAGCGTGACCATTCCCCCTGGGGGGTGATTTCTCGCTTTCTGTCTCTCTGTCTCTCTCTGTCTGTCTGGCGAGTGCACACACCCTATAGCAAAAACCTCTCAAAATAAAAATAAATGAAAAAAATAATACCAGTGCTAAGAATCTGTTCATGATGCATGGTGATAGTTAGACAAGCAGTAGTCCAAAAGTCTCAAAGAATACCTTTCTAACTCTACCTTGTGTCAATTTCAATGATCCTGAGGCCTGGGATAAAAGAGCAGGGAAGTACAATATGTATACTTTGCAAAGGAAGTCCATAAATAATCTTTTTAGAGTGAAGGGACTCTTAGGAGTAAGGCAGGGGTGAAAATGGATCTTTCTGACATGAAAGTGCTTTAAGTTACAGGGGAAGGGAAGGACCAACCATGGGAAGAGAGGCAGGAAGGAATAGGAGGCATGTAACAAACACGAAAGGTGGAGGGAAGGCACCAAGAGTACATGGATCAGTAACAAGGTGTTTTGTTTTTTTTAAAGAATTATCTTACTTAACTTTATCCACTTATTTATTTTAATTTGACAAGAGATGGACAGAGAGAGGAGAGAAAGGGAAAGTGAGAAATCAAGCTGCCTGGTCCAAGACTCAAACCATACTGAGGGGCTAAGACCGGCATGCACCGCGCGTGCGGAGGCGGAGGCGGGGCAGGCTCTAGGGACCTTGGCAAAATTACTTAGGCTAAAAGAGAAACTGGACGAAGCCAAGGGATCAGGTTTAAATTCTTTGCATGAAGAAACCAAAGTCACTGAAGAGAGGGGGCAGTGTGTAGCTAATAGCTGCGATAAATTAGAGTGGGAGGAAACAGCCTCAGCTCTCACAGAGCTCCCAATAAAATGGGAAGTGATTAAACCTCAAAATCTCCTACTAATAGAGAAGTAAGTGTATAACAATTTAGCTACCAGACCTGAATACTAAAGGGTAGGCAAGGGACAGAAGAGTCAGGGAGGTTTTACAACAGAGAAGTGACCATTCAAAATGGATTTTAAAGATAATCTTGTGTTCAAAGTGTGGAATTGTCAGAACTCTGAAGGCACAGAGTAAGATTGTAGCTAGCACAGTCTAGGCTCCAAGGGTTAAAAATCAAAACTACTAAGGGGGTTAAAAAGGGCACAACACCAAGAGATGTTCAGAGAATCTGCAGAATTCACTTGAAAAGACACAATTTTCCTCTTCATTCATTCATTCAGAAAATAGATTCGTAAGGCGGAGAAGTAAATGGGGAATTGGAAATTAGTTCCATATTTCTGTGCATGAAAAACTGGGCCCAGGTGACTTATAGGAATTGTATAAAGCAAAAGTGACTGACATTCATGGGGGAAAGAGCTGAAGAACAAAAACTGACTGAATGTTCAATCAATAATTAGAAGAGTGTGTATGGCACCAGATGTGTTGAACTGTGGACAGGGACTAGCATATCCACTAAGATCTACACATCTTAGTGGTATAGGATCCAAGTGGGATTCAGTGAGAAATTCCTGTCCCTCCTCCAGCTCAATAATACCAGTGCTGGGAACCAGCAGTTAGTGTAATGGCTATGTTGCTGGACTCCCATGTAGTCGACCGTGGTTCGCGTCCCAGACCCGGTGGCTTAAAACTCACACCGGGCGCGTGTGCGTGCATGCCCAAGATCCTGAGAGGAGAATGGAGGAGAAGGGATTGCAGCGTGACCATTCCCCCTGGGGGGTGATTTCTCGCTTTCTGTCTCTCTGTCTCTCTCTGTCTGTCTGGCGAGTGCACACACCCTATAGCAAAAACCTCTCAAAATAAAAATAAATGAAAAAAATAATACCAGTGCTAAGAATCTGTTCATGATGCATGGTGATAGTTAGACAAGCAGTAGTCCAAAAGTCTCAAAGAATACCTTTCTAACTCTACCTTGTGTCAATTTCAATGATCCTGAGGCCTGGGATAAAAGAGCAGGGAAGTACAATATGTATACTTTGCAAAGGAAGTCCATAAATAATCTTTTTAGAGTGAAGGGACTCTTAGGAGTAAGGCAGGGGTGAAAATGGATCTTTCTGACATGAAAGTGCTTTAAGTTACAGGGGAAGGGAAGGACCAACCATGGGAAGAGAGGCAGGAAGGAATAGGAGGCATGTAACAAACACGAAAGGTGGAGGGAAGGCACCAAGAGTACATGGATCAGTAACAAGGTGTTTTGTTTTTTTTAAAGAATTATCTTACTTAACTTTATCCACTTATTTATTTTAATTTGACAAGAGATGGACAGAGAGAGGAGAGAAAGGGAAAGTGAGAAATCAAGCTGCCTGGTCCAAGACTCAAACCACAGTCAGCCATGTGGGAGCCCAGCACCCTCAACCACCATGTCACCTGCCAGCCCCAGTACTGAGGTTTTAGGAACAGTTCAAATCCTGGGACCAGCAGATGGCATAATGATTACATCGCTGGATTCCCATGTGGTCAACCAAGGTTCAAGTCCCAGATCTGGCAGCTTAAAACTCATGCAGGATGCAGGACACATGTGCATACATGCCCAAAATCCCTAGAGGAGAATGGAGGAGCAGGGATGGCACCCTCCCCACATAGCTGACCATGGTTCGAGTCCCTGCCCTAGCAGCTCACTTTTTTTTTAAATATTTTTTTAAGATTTATTTAATTTTATTTTATTTATTCATTCATTTATTTTTTAATTTGACCAGAGAGAGAGAGAGAAAGTTAGAAAGCAAGCCGCCAGGTCTAGGACTTGAACCGTGGTCAGCCACGTGGGAGTGTCCAGCACCTTAACCACCA